GAGTGTACAAAAATAAATTCATAACTACGAATACAAATTCAGAGGAGTTATGATATAAAAATTTAGAAAATACACCTTCAGCTCTACAACATACCAAAGTAATTTGGTAATTAACTCGGAAGTTAGATGAGAGATATGTTTAGACATTCCAATTTAACCAATATAATCTACAATATATTAAGCTTGGTAAAATAAGTTATTTTTCAAAATGTTAACAATGTTAATCTATTTTATTTATTTTTTCTAAAGACAGACATGTACTGCCAGTAAATAGATTAGTATTGTGAAGCGATGAAAATATGAGCTTGTAAACTTTATAAATGTTAAAATATATTGTTATGTCTATTATTAAAGAATAGTGTTACATTTAAGATTATTAATTTAGAATACAGTCTGATGATATTCTAAATTAAGAAATTGTATTCTAGAATGATCTACATGAGAATTCTTAGATTTTATTAGTGCTTACGTACTTTTTACCTTTTACATTTTATAAAAAATTTTTGAATATTTAAGAACTATTAAAAATCTTTGAGTAAGTAGTTTGAAATATCTAGTTTATTTAATCTTAAATAATCCCTCAAGATCTGTTCATTTGATTAAAGTAAATGAAACTTTAAAAACTGGTATTTACTTTGTATATTATTAAATATAAAGCAAAAAATTGCTATATTTTTTAAGTTAATTTAGCACAAGCTTACTTACAAAGCTGTTCATTTATATTTACAGAAAATTTTTTAAGATTTTACTTTATTTATTATATTATAATATCTTTTAAATTATTTGATAGTTTAGTTATGATTATATATATAGATTAATTAAAAATAAAAAAGAGTTTATAATAAATTTTAATTTTAACTGCGGATATAATTGTTATATTTATTATTTTTTTAATAATTCGATTTTAATATATATTTATTTTGTGCAATAATTTATTGTAATATTATAGGAGTTGAACTGCTATATAGATAATTAACTAAGATTATTATAGCTTGAGTTAAGTTGCTATCTATTTACTAGGTGGTGTTATTGTTTAATTACAAAATTAGTAATAAGCAAGTAGTGTTATTTAGTTAATACAGTAGTATGAATTAGAGATTCTAAATTGTCTTTATAAAATATAATAATAACTAAAAAATAGAAAATATTAATAATTATTTAATAAATTTAAAAGCTTCACTATTAATACAGTAATAAATCTAATAAATTGTATTCAAAATAGTGTGCGACTTAGAGTAGTGGTTAAGTTGTTATACTCTAAGCAGCAGGTTTAGAGTTTAAATCTCACTGAAGATGTTTTTAGAAAAATAGGCCTATATATTAGTAATAATTATTCAACGATCGGTTGGATATATTACTTGTAATCTTGGTACTACTATCTTAAAATAGAAGCTCTTGGGTGATCCAAATTCAAGAAATCAGAATAATTGAAACCTGTTTGACAAGACCCGAGTAAGAAGGTAGTGAAGATTTTTGATGATATTGCGGAAAAGTTAAAAACCGGTGACCGAAAACTAGACAAAAATCCTGAGGCAAGAAGAGTTCACCAATCTGGCCACCAGAATCGCACTAAAGGAAAAGATTCTATACTATGAAATTAGGAACCAAGGAAAGTAAAACCAGAGGGTATTTAAAGCCTAGATACAATGACCTGTCTAGGCTAACTGGTTTGATAGTTAAGAAGAAATCGGTATAAATACATCTATGTACCCCCAAAGATCAGCATTATTGTTGTTGATTAATGTTAATCAAAATTAGAGGTAGGGTCAAAAATAGCATTAGGTTAAGAGTAGAGTTTTAGAAAAATATATATTAAAATTTTGCAAAGAATTTTTTTTGTTATGACACAAAAGATAGTTTCATATGTAAAATTTCAAGATATAAACGATTTTTAAATAAATGATTTGTTTTTTTAATTTTAATGATATATATTAATCATTTGTGTAGTATCTACATAATTGATGTTGATTGGCTAAATGCTAATCTTTAGAAGGCACATAGATGTACACAGATTAGTATAAGGACTGGCTTGATATGGGTATTAGGATCAGAACAAATCTTACAAAGGCACCAAATATTGGAATTATGTAGTTTAATAATTTGCCCTGACTGCTAGTAGTAGTTTTGGCTGCTGCAAAAAGTATTTGTAGCCTAATCTGGAAGTGCATAAAACATAAAAAGATTAGGGGGGTATATATTACACCCTCTCTAGAACAACCTGATAGTATAAGAACTCTACTGGATTATTTATAAAATTAGGATACAAATAGTATAGCAGATATTAATCTAAGTAGTCTTCAATAAGAAGCAACATAAGATTATAGATTGGTATGATTGTGGTAGTGATACAGAACAAGAAACATCAGAGAGTTTAAATAGGTAATCTCCTAGTTAAGGTTGCAGGCATGACATATAATATAAAACCTTCAGGTAGACTACTTAAATTAGGCAACCAAAAGTTGCACATGTTGCTATATGTACTCTCGTTAACCAAGAATGTACTACTAAATATACCTAATAAAAATCTACTCTTCTGCGACATTGCGAAGATATAAAAAAAAATAATAAATAAATCATATTAAAATTATTGGATTTAAAATCTAGAATGATCCAAATGGTGATCATTACTAAATAAGATATGTTCATCTTTGACGGAATATTATCGGACTGTATTAATTGATTTGATTGGCAGCAATCACTATATCAACAAATATCAATTGATTAATCCTGTAGTCATTGAACAAAAATTCTTTTTTCTTGCAACTTTTGTTTTTGTTTTAGTAAAATTTCTTTTTTCTTTTTTCTTAAAGTTGTATATACAGTATCATCCTTCCAGTTGGTGTGACTAGATATAATAAGTATAATCTTGTAGATTATATAAACTAATAAAACATCTTTTTTATTTCTTAAAAAAGATTTGTTTTCGTGTATGCTTTGATCATGATCAAAGATTTTATTTTGTTTTCTCAAAAATTGCCTGGCTTTTGATAACCGTCAAGAATCTATTCGGTATTTATCGTTTAACTGGACGGTAACTAGATTGTGAAAGAGTAATTGCTTATGATTCTCCGCCGAGGTCTAGTCGATATTATTGTTCATCTGGATGGTAACTGGTAACCTAGTGATTAATGAAATTAATGAATAAGTAATTCCGCCGACGAGTTTAGTGTCACCTGAAGAATCAACCTCATCGCGATGTGACCGGATAACCAAGCCTATATCGTTTTTTTTTATTCCATATATACAGTCAAACCTCTCTATAGTCACGCCCTTCGTTCTATGCTTATATAGAGGTTAAAGTTTGTATGGCTTATATAAGTTGGTTCTAAAAATTGGTGTGATTATAAGTGGATGTAACTATATAGAGAGTAGAGAGAGCAGACTGTATATATTTCCCAATCAATGAATGACAATCGCGATAAATTAAATAAAAAATTTAATATGCTCCGGGCTTAAACCTGTTTCAGATTCCTAGTGCATTTTAGAAATTACTATATCTGATATACTTCAATTTGGATAAACTTTTAAAATGCTGTATCTTTTTCTACAAAAACAAAATTTTAAAAATATTGCTTCTACAAAAGTTGATGCATGTTAAAGTCATACTATTTTTATTGTCTAGTATAGATTTCCAGCACGATAATGTTTTGTAAAAAAAAAAAAAAAAAACTGGATAAAAAGCTTTTTTTGCAAGGTGTCGGTCTTTAGAAATTACGTCACCTGATTAATCAATATTAGTCACCACCAAGAATGATGTTTCTTGATACCTGATACATAACGATATTTTTTTTCCTTTACAAAAGAAAAAAATCAATGCAACACAAAAATAATCGTCCTGATACGAGTTCGAACAAACAGACTTCGTGTCTTCTGCTACACTTCGGACAAATTTTGACCATGTATTCACATTTACCAGCAACACTGCAAAACCAATTTATCTTTGATGATAGAAGATCGAATTTTACATAATCTTAGGTCTAACTTTATTCCTTGCTAGGGCTTAATCTATGTTATTAGATGGCGGGATTTCATTTACACCATGCCGTAATCAAATCAAACAATCAAGTATCTATATGGCTATAATGTCTCGTAGTTGCATTATTTCTGATACATTTTATTTGTACATAGTGATCCATGAAACTAGTTACTCGACAAGTTTTGACTAAAAAAAAAAAAACAAATTTAAAGACCACCTTTCAAAAGGTCGAGAAATTTCTCCTTTGACATTGAAGATACTATAAATTTGTAAAATAATCAGCGGCAAAACTGACAAAACCGAAAGATAACATAAGCTACAAATGATTGTACTTTACCATCTTTAGCTTCCTTTGTTGTTAATCTTTGTTTACCACCAGCTTCTTTTATTGAATTATCAACAATTTTTTGTGACATATGAATTGCATTAAATAATTGTATAACTATACATAGTTGGTCGAGACATATATACGCCTGAGAACAAAATTTAAAATAATAACAATCGTAATAATCGTAATAATATGATGCATTTGTCATACCGCCTCTGGTTGCTATTTTTCTCAACTTTCTTTCAATGTCAATAGTAGTGAAATCCACTTTTATTCGATCTTTATTAACCAGTTTCTTCTTTTCAATATTTATGGCCCTTCGTGCTCGATATTCTGATTTTGCATCGTCAATGCGTCGTTCGATACCTCTAGATCTGGATAAAATTGGTATCTACCAGAAAGCAAAACTTTGTTAACTTATTCATAATTATTTTATAATTCGAGGTAACTATTACATTTTTGTCTGCCGGTTTAACGGAACTTGACAAGATTTTGTTGATGGCTGCTGCAAAATCCGATGCCGAAGTTTTGGATGTTTTTTTTCTTTCTAAAATTTCGAGTGGTTAAATTTAAATAATAGAACAATTCCAAAGTTATTTAAAGAAATCTAAGACTCAACTTTGCCTAATTGAATCGTTCATTGGAGTTCACAAATTTGCGTTTAATAACGATAACAATAATTTATTGCCTACAAAGTCATTGGCTCGATAATTTTCAATCTATAAAATTGCAATTTGATTGGTCAAGTTTTAACACAATTTTTTTTTTTTTTTTTAATATTAAATCTTTATCATTATATATCAGATATAGATTTAAAAAAAAAAAAAACCAGATAAGCAAGTTATTTTTTGAATCTGATATAGCCATATAAAGTAAATTATAATACACTTTTATACGTATTTACACGAAATAAAGCCCGAGCGTTATTTGAGGCATGCAATTTAAGGGCTAATAATTAATTTAACCGAATGCGAACCATAATCTTGTTCTTAAAAATCTTTGGCTAAATTAATTATGAGTTCTCTTAAAATTGCATGCCCTAAAATAACGTCTCAGGACATTATTTCGCGCAAATGCAGTAAATAATATTTTCTAATAAATCTCGTACGTTCTAAAAAATGATATATCAAAACATTATATAATTTACTATGATTACTATAAAATAATTCCTACTCTTAACGGCAAAACTTCAATCGTTAATTTAATTCTAAACTTTTTTGTATAATATATAGTTTTTAATACTTGTTTACTCTTAAAACAAAAAAAACAAGATTCTTAAACAAAATTATAATATCTTTCTTATCTGATCAATAATATAGTTTAGGTTTTATGTTTGTCACTGACATTGAAAATCCTTTTTTATTATACTTTATGCTATAGACAGGCAGGATAATGTAGCCTGCGTTTCAATTACCTATTTAAAATTAAAAATAAGTAGTAGTTAGGGAAGAAGAAAAAGAATGATAAGATACAAACCTCGATCGCTTGTTTGATTTCTAAATGATTTCTAGCAGATGTAATCCAATCATTAGCCAACTTTTTCGGCCAACCTTCTAATTGATTCAACTCTCTTGTCGCAGTATCCAAATCATTTTTATTAAGATAATACTGAACCCGAGCGAGTATCGCCTCTACGTCATTTCCATCCACGAGTCCATGTTTACGAAACAGTATTTTAGATAATACAAGAGATAATAAATGAGAAAGTACACCACCGTCTTCAGGTACTAAAGATGCACGTCTAACTTCTTCTCTTACAGTGTTAAATCGTTTTGATAAATCCGAAATGGAATCAACACCATTGATGGCAACTGAGTCGTCGATTGTAGACAATACAGCTGATACCACTTCATCAGTTGAAAAAAAACGACGCAATGCAACAATCTGATCGATAAACGGAGTTCGATGAGGTTGTTCAATTACATTTTGTAATGATTTCAGTGTACACCATAGACGATGTACTTTGATAATAGCGTCCAAATTATCGGTGTTACTTATGCAAAAACGTTCAAGCGTTTTGAGACGTTTATTGATATAATCTAATCTTGCTAGACGCCCAGAACGTTCTTTCTCAACCATAATCATTACGTCTTTTACCCATCGACGTTGCATGTCAACAGCCTGTCGAACAAGCTCATTCTCTAACTCCTCCTTGTGTTTCGATGCTTGGTGCGAAAGCTCAGAATTGAGTTGTTCATGATGTTGTTGATATAAGTCATGTTTTTCTTGATCGAATTGTTTCATTAGAGCGATTTCTTTATCTTTGATATGTTCTTCCATTGAATTTTCATAGTTTGCAATAATCTGATTGAATTTTTCCTTTTGTTCGTCTAGTTTCTTTTGTAACAAATCCTGATCTTCGGCCTTAATCTGGTCAATATTTTTACTGAGCTCATTTAATTCATCTCTTGCTTGAGATAAAATTTTCCTTCCAGCATTTTTTACGTCGTGATTTATCATGAAGGTGTCAAGTTGTTTAAGAGTACCGGAAAGTTTACGAATGATTGGATTTTCTTTATTGGCCAATTCGTATATTTTATTGGAAGGTGATATACTATCTTCGGATGGTTTAGGCAGACCAATGTATCTATAGCTTATTTGTTTCATTTTCTTTTTCATATCATAAAAAAAACCCTGCGTTTGAAGATCCTCCGTATATTCCACTACCTGTTTTGCTCCATAAATATGTTCAGTAAAATAATCTCGAAATTTATCATTATTTAGAGAAAAATACACAGCTCCACCATATGTTATACCGCCTAAAAGTGTTATTTGGAACAGAAATTTACCGAATTTAAATTTATTTTTTTTTTGAGTTGGCGTAGCAACTTCTTGAGTTTGATTAGAAGCTTTTGACTCGGTGACCTCTGATATTTTTTTATTGTCAACATTATGCGTAGTAGGTGTCGGTTTCGCAGCCTTTTCGTTACTTGCAAACCTCTGTTTTCGCATGTTGTATTTAAAAATACATTATCTAACAAATTTTTTTTTTTATTTTTTAGCAAAGGGCCCGAAACAATATAAATAAATTATTAAAGGAACCTTTACAATTTGAGTTATTCGTTGTCTCGGTGAAAACATAAGCAAACACTTAGATCGTGTTTGAGTAGCTTGACGCATGACTCTTAGCATAATTGTTGTTCTACGTTCTAATTTCGATGAATGTGAAATCGATAGTAGATTTTTTTTTTTTTAAGCATCGATATTATCGTTATCTATGGTAATACAGCATATCGATGGGAAGCAGGTATGACTTCACTCACGTGATTTTAAATTCACGTGGAGTTCATTTCTCCTTAACGGTCGATAATATTACATTTTTGAATCGCTTCGAAGAAAAGGTTGAGCACTTGTTTTAACTTGATCTTGCTTGATTTGAACGTTATACGAAAGTTAGGTATCCAAAAATTTTACTGTAAAATAATACGGCCAATATGTATAACAAAACAAATATGAAAATTTGACAAGTTTTTTATTTTATATATATACAATAGAAAATTTTTATCCAAAATAGATACTATATATTGAATTTTTACTATCAAAGCCACCAAAGATTTTCCGGATTCTTTTAATTTCATCTAACGATAAACAAGTGGGGTTGAGTGGGTGTGTGTTCTATCAACTATCCTGACAATGCGAACATGCATGACATTTAATATTGTAACATTTAAAGAGTAATCTGTAAAATTAATTAATAAAAAAAAAATTTTTTTTTTTTTTCGAAAAATAATTCGAATTTCATGCAATCGAAGTTAATCTTTAATTTTGGTCAGAGTTTTTGTTGATCAGCAAATAAAACGTTTCATCATGCTGTCTAAATGTAAATTCTTTAAAAAAAGATGTATTCGTTACAACCAACTGTCGGTAGGTAATACGAATATATGTCTGGTATGGGGGTGTAAAAATACGTATATACGTACGTTTATATGTTAGGATTAGGATTAGGAATTATAGCAGATTATATAGTATGGTATGATGTTTGAATAAGTACAATTCTGGTCACCCCATACCATACTGATACGTATTCTGTAATCCTGCTGTCGGTTATACAGATATAGTTATAACTAGAGTAAGTCCTGTAATGATATGGACTATTATTCTACTCAGTCCCTGGAATTTTCCCCACTTGAGAATATATGTACGATTTAACTAACTGAAAATTGCTTTTATATCAAATATATATTTACCAATACTTTTCAGTTAGATTTAATTAAGAAGAGATTTTTCAACCAATAGTATTGTACTGCACTAGCCTTATATATTAATTAAATGTCCAGGAAAAACAGGTACATGATCAGGGTAACTCAGTTGACTAAGCAAGCTCGAGTTCAGCCAGTATCAATGGCAAAGATGATTTCATTCCAAGATTTATTATAAAGTGAAAAATATAATGATAACAGATAAGGGAAAGTAATTTACTCATAATATAATGATTATAATTCTATTTTTTTAACTACATATTTCTTCGGCAATGAACCAATTAAACTCAATGTACTAATATCATCTTGATGAGTAACACCTCTGACTCTCAGATTTACTAGACGGCTTATACGTATAAAAAAGGAATAGATTCATCTAAAGGAAACCAACGGGAATAAAGTAGTATTTATCGATCTAATGCTAATAATGACCTTGATGTCATCCCTCTTTTGCACGCTCTATTATATAACACCAATACTAATATTGCCAAGAAAAGCGCAATGATTTTTTTTCGTCGTGGAAATAAAAAACAAATAAATAAAACGATGGTAGACTCTGTGGCTGCGTTAAAAAATTGTTGAAACTTTTTATATTTTTCACCGAATTAACGTTAATAATGAATTAATGAATTGGGTACAAGAATAAAATAGCTCGAAAATTATGATGTTACACAAATTACGCGATGTTATAAACTTGTAATAAAAAGGGGGGTAACAATTAAGTTAATAAAAAAAAAAAATCTTGAATTAGACCCAAATGCAGTTTAGAATTCGCTTTAATTAATTATAAAAATACAAGGCGATAATTTGCGATATTTAATGTAGACAACAAATGACGAGAAATAAAAAAGAAACACTAAATTACAAAGCAAAGAAAAATATCAACTGATACTACTATATAATTTTAAAGATCGCAGAATGTCTATCGTTGTCACGGCCAAAATTGCCCAAAACGCTGTTTTTTTCTCTGACGAACGATTTCGGTGCGAAATTACCTTTGAATACCCACTTCCTACGGTCGAAAAGTTCTCAAACGATAAATTACAAAGCCTAGCAAGTAAAAATGGTTTCATAAGCCACACAAAATCTTATCAGGAACCAAAATCACCAGGCAGGAAACTTTCGCCTAGGCAGGTTTCAAATGGAAATCCTTTGTCAGCAATAGTAGAGAACCCTTCGATTCAAAATAGCCTAGCTGGAGATCTTGGCGATTCGGGAATGTTTGGGTTTCGTAACTTGGTCAAGAGAGCGTCTTCAACACTCTCTTTATTTTCTTTGGGCAGTGGAGAATCGCAGCCACCGTTATCACCAGTACGAAATAATGATTATATTGAAAAAAAAAATAGTAGTACGAATTTTATGATTCGATTTGTTTCTTATTGTGGATTAATTGTTATTTTGCTAATATTCTTATAATATCTTTTTTTAAGACAATGATGTTCATTCAACGGATTCGCCGTTTGCTTATATAGAAGAAGAAACTTATGATGATGGTGGGCTAATTAATTTAAAACATGCAGATGGTAGTGACAGCGTTTCAATTAGTGATTATGATACTTCTGAATCTTCTCCACGAAGTTCTGCAGATTTTTATGTACTTGGATATTCTGACGACAGAAGTAGTAATAGTTGGAGTGGTTCATTAAGTGATTATAAAAGAAATAGTAGTGGTAGTGGTCGTTCTTCAATTGGAAGTGGGCGATGTAATTCTTCACCTACTCTTAGTCAAAAATATGAAACATTATTATGGGGTTTTGCACAGATAGTTGGGCAATTTGTGGTAGATGGTTCTTTAGTAAAGTCTATCGAATTTGAACCATTGAAAACAAAGACAATGTATCGACCAGCTAGTGGGAGTGGTGCTGGGGGAGCCGTAGGTGGTGGAACATTAGGAGTATTCACTCCAAATTCTATACATCCTTCGAGCTTACAAGATCTCCAAGAACGAGCGGGTATGTTTTATAATAAATATTCATTAAAATAATAATATTTTTTTCAAATTACAAACTTATTATTCTAACCTTTTTTATTTAGATAGTAAATCTATACCTGTATTTTCAACACCACCATCAATATTGTTTTGTGATTTACATTTGATGCCAGGAGAGAGTCGAACTTGTAATTTCACCTTTCTTGTTGAGCTTATTAAATATATTAAAGTAAATCTATTAAAGTATTTTTCTTTATGATTAGACACATATGAGACTAGGCTACCGACTGATTTACCCCCGACTCACCGTGGTAAAGCAATTCGGTTTAATTATAATTTGATAATAGGAACTCATCGAGGCGGGTTGAATCAACAATCACATATAGTTCAGTTACCTTTCCGTGTATTCAATTTTGTCTCTGGTAAATTTTATTATTTGTAATTTTGGAAAATTTATTATATAACTATATGATTTTCTTACATATGATTTATAGATGATGGTTCTAGACCTGTTTATGATTTGATGAATCCTGTTATTATTTACAAAGACGAAGCTGTGATAAAATGCAAAGAAGATAATAAAAGGCTATCATCACCAGCAAAAAAACGAGGTTATTATTATTATTCTTATTATTATTATTAGTATTTTTGGGAGTATCTATTTTTTTTTCATGTTTTTTATTGCTTACGAATGAATGTCAATTTAGACAATAAGCGTGAAGAATTCATAGATTATGTGACAAAACTTGCTCAATGCTCTGATGATACGAATCTAGACATTGACAATAAAAGAGATGGAAAGAGAGATAGCGATAATTATGTTTTCGTGGAGAAATATGTAAACTCTCTTACCAATACGGCAACTATTATATCAAAGAATACACGGAAAGGTACTTTCTGATACAACTTTATCACGTGATAAATGCCCACACATATTTGATTATTTTTGAATTTTTAGTAAATTTTGATATTTGTAAAAATAATCAACGAGTGGCACAATTATGTCTTTTAAAGACACTATATCGATTAGGAGATATTGTAACGGGAACACTAAACTTTAATGATGCTATTATACCTAGTTTTCAGGTTTGAATTTTTTAGATATTTATATCTCAAGTAAGGAAATTCTTTTTAATTCAATGATAAAAATTTTCATGATAGGTATCTATCACATTGGAGAATAGTGAATTGGTTGAATCATCTGTAGCAAATCGACCGCAACAACAAATATCGCGATTGACGCGTAAAATACATGGTGAACACCATGAATTTTGCCTGAATGCATCACGTATAAGTTTTGCTATTTCCATACCAACCAATTGTACGCCAGATTTTGCGACTACAGGAGGTAAAGAATCATTTATTGTTGATAATCATCATTCGTTGTTAATAATCATCATTCGTTGTTGATAATCATCATTCGTTATTGATTAATAGTGAAACTTCAGTGGAGTTTACGATTGGAATTCATTACAGGATCTAAGAACGACCATCCGTTAATGCCGCTTAATGCGGATGAACGTCATCATTATTTTCAAGCGGTTGAAGATGTTAATGTTGAAACTTTTGATTGTTCCATTCCAATTAAAGTATATCCGACATCATGTGAATCAGCACGGACATTTCCTTCACAACATACTTTTCGTGTATCATAATGTATTTTGGATTAATAATATTTAATTTTTAGTTTTCATTTCTACTTTATTTAATACTTGTATGTATCTTGAGATAATACTCAAGAGAGGGTATATATTAAAGAATTAGAGCTATTCAAGAAACATTCTCCTTTCTAATATTCATATATAAAAATAACCGTACAAAGTATTTATTACAATAAATTTACGATTTTTTTTTTTTCATCCTAGAATCAAAAAAAAAAAAAAATGGCTAATACTATTTGTAGAAGGAACTCGAGTAATACCTCAGTGTTAAAATGTTTTAAACTGTTTTTTTAAACACGAGTTTTACACATAGGAACTGTGTATTATGTTAATCAGAATCACTCAAATTGAGATTAGATCATTTATACGCAAATAGATCAACCCATCGAATCATCTGTCATGTAAAAAATGAAGAGATTTTTACTTATCTAAATAAAAATGTTGATAATATTTTATAAAGGAATTTATCCGACTATGTATATAATATAGTCCATAATTTGGTATTAATAGTGAAAAAATATACAAAATTTTCCCTTTTTTGGAGATAAAAAAAAAAAAAAAAAATCAAAAAAAAAAAAACTAATTTAACCCTCGATATCATTTCTTTCTCGTAACACGGTCGACGTGAAGCAAGACTTAAGTAAACTCTAAAAAAAAAAAAAAGGGAAAAAAAAGGAATGGAGAATGGAAGGATTGAAACAAAAAAAAACAAGCATAAAAATAATAAGAATACAAAGATTTTCAAATATATTGATAATGATAAAATAATTTAAGATCAAACATTCAATATTATTCAATAATCATATTCTGCAAACCAAAAAAAAATAAAAATAAAAACCGTAATGGTTTGGAATTCATATATTGTCCATTAATATTTTTGTAAACTTTTAGAGTAAGAAATTTCTTGTTGTAACATGTCATCATGCAATTTACCACCATCATCATCATCAGAATTTGAAGCAGGTTGTAACATTGGAGCAGGTCTTGAACCTCGTAAAGATCTTGGTAAGAAGTAAGTAACATAGCCCAGTATAGTGAATGCAATGTTAAATGGTAAGAACATAAATTGCATCATACTACGTGGAACACTAATTGCTTGCTCTTCTTGTAATTTACAAGAAATAATTGAATCAAATTCACGAAGTTTAGATTCTAAATAAGCAAATCTTTCCTCCGAATAATTTCGAAGATATTGTTCTTTTCTCTCATATCTTCTTACAGCCTTATTTAATTGAGTTAAAGTTGGTTCAAAACCATCACGTACATTTAAGACGTCACGTTTTGTTGCAAATCCACGACGTAATTGAGAAAATTCATATTCCAAATGTTGTACACGTCGTTTTAATAATTCCACTTCAGTACTAGGATAATGAACTTGTTCTTGTAAATATAAAGTACGATTTTTAGCTAGATTGGCGATGTGCATCAATGGACGAATTCCTGCAGCAAATACGAATAGCATGATATTGAAATGGGAGATGTACTTGTCATAATCAGTCAAGTACATTTTTGCACCGTGTAAAGCATAACCACCAATGATTGGTGAAGCAACCACAAGTAACAATGCCCACATTTCTTGTAAACGAAGTTCTTTTTCGGCTTGTTTTCTTTGAGCTTCTTGAGCCGGATCTGCAGTCTGGCCTTGAAGGTTTTCATTTACAACACGTCTTGATCTAGCAGCATAATAAAGTTCCCATGGAACTAGAAAATTAAAAATTGAAAACATTATTAATTTTGTTTTAATCGCTACAATGATTTTTTTAATCGTTACAATTATTTTTTTTTAATCAATGCTAATCAATGAAATTTTTCTTAATCAATATTAATCAATATTAATCAATGCAAAATTTTTTTTTTAAATCATTATAATTAGATCGCTATAATTTTAAATATTACATATCAACTAATTAATTAAATTTATAAG